GTTTTGTTCCAGTTTTAATAAGTGGTTTAAATGAGGACATAGTTGGACTCCCTTTGAAATGTTGGGTGGTTTGAATCTGCATGCAGTGGTAGTACCTTGGATGATAAAACCAGGAACCGAAATTATCTTGATAGCCTGGGAAGGAATCTAACAAGGTGGATTTGACAAAAGTCATGTATACAACTAAATTTTACAGGCTGTAGTATGAGTCAGTGACATGGTGTGGTTGCCAAATACGCTAAGGGAAAATGGACCACATGTGACAGGTGTATGATCAAAGAGGAAAAGTAGTAGTCTCCAGTTTATCATAGGGTCCTCAGACTTAGTCTGCATCTACCAGTGTTGTTATGGATGGATGACACTCTTAAGTGACACTTGAAAGTCTAGTCTTACTGGGCACCGGTGGCTCACACCTGTAATCCTAGCTATTCAGGAGGCAGAGATGAGGAGGATAGCAGTTCGAAGCCAGCCTGGGCAAATAGTTTGTGAGACCCTATCTTGAAAAACCCTTCACAAAAACAGGACTGGTGGAGTGGCTCAAGGTGAAGGCCCTGAGTTAAGCCCCAATACTGCCCCCTTCTGCTCCCCCCCCCCCCCCGCCCCCGCCCCACCAAAAAAAAAAGTGCTACTCTCTTGGAGGTACTTATAATTTGCCTTTATCAGGGAAGGGAATGATAGGTGCAGAGAACAATATGAAGTGCTGTCATTTGGGTGAGGAAATAGGTTTACTGTAGTAATTCTTAGGAAGGTAGATTCCGTCTCAGTGTAAAGATGACGACTCTCTAGTTTGTTTTTTTTTTTTTTTGGTTGTTGTTGTCTGAACCCAGGGCCTCATGTTTGCTAGGCAGGTACTCTACCATTTGATCCACTCTGCCAGCCTAGTTAAGAAATAATTTAAGGTGGACATGTTTGTGATGTGAAGTGGCTTTGCTGAGAAGAGTTAGGACTGAGCAGCCACTTGTAGATCATATTCCAAGTCTGACATTGCTAAATTTCTGGGAATTTGATGACTGATGTCTATGAGGAAAGGAAAAAAAGTAACCTAGTTTTGAGCCTGGATGAAAGGAAGTTCCAGACTATCTATCTATTCCTTTTTGATGTCTTTAAATACTGAAACTGCATTGATTAATGGTCAGAATTCATCTTTATTTTATATTTGGTCACCTGACTGGGATTGGGCCTGAAAGCTAGATTTTTAACACTTAATATATGGGTCCCATTTTTGCGTAGTAGGAAAAAACCTCACATTTTGTGTCATTTTGGTAGCCAAGAATGTCCTGATACATTCTAACTCAGGAGAATCCCGATCTCTTAGAGAGCTGGGGTTTATCAGTCAGTATTAAGAGTAGAACCTCTTAAGGCTCAGATTGTCCTTTGACCTTTAAACTCACTGCTAACCACCTGCTGGGATGAGGTTTTGTGTTTTTTGTTTTTTTTTAAAAGGTTGTATAGATTGGTATTAGATTAAGGAAGATATACATGTATATATGAAATGCTTGCTTAATCCATAGATGGAGCATTACTTAGATAACTTTATTTGGACAGTATGCTCACTGGTTGTCCTTACATTTAGTTTTATTTATTTATTTATTTTGCTCCTTTAATGACATTTTCATTAGCCAACCAATATACTCTGTGCTACTTTTAATTAAGTTTTCTTTTTTCTTTCTTTTTTGAGATGTTATCTGTTTATGCAGTCCAGGTTGGCCTCCTGCCTCAGCCTCCCAAGTGTTGGGATTACATTACAAGTATGCACTACCATTGGCTTAAGTTTTCTTTTAAATCAAATAGGAGTGGAAAGGGTGTTTTATTTTATAAATCCTGCTAAATCTTTGTGTTACTTATATTATTCAGAGAACATAATCGTCCTTTATACCTCTTACATACCCTATCTTGACTAAAGTCAATTTTACTTAGAAGTAGAATTGTTAATGTTGGTGACTGATGGGAGTGTATGTTGGCTACATTATAGACAGGCTGTCTTCCCTATATATCTATTGTGAGAATTTCTATATTGTCTTGTTTTGCCTTTCCTAGATTTCTTGTAAGAATTTTGGTTATTTTCAGTAATGTTTGTTGACATAATTAGGATCCAAGCTTTTGTAATAAAATGAGATTAGGTGTTTTTTTTGAACTCAGGGCCTTTACCTTGAGCCACTCCATCAGCCCTATTTTTTTGTGAATGTTTTTTTGAAATACAGTCTTGTGAACTATTTGGCTAGGCTGGCTTTGAATCTCAATCCTCCTGATCTCTGCCTTCTGAGTAGCTAGGATTACAGGCATGAGCCATTGGTGCCTGGCAGGTGTTTTCTTAAGTGAATAGCTTCCTATGTTTAGAACATTTAAAAAATAATACCTCCATTAAAAGGAAAGGGGGGGAAATCATACCAGCTTCTGCCAACCTCAGTAACTTGTGTATCTACCTGGAAACATTTTTTTATTTCCTTCTGATACTTTAATTATTTTTGTCATGCCAGGTGACCAAATTAAAAGTCATTGCTAGGTCATTAAGATTGGCTATTTGATGTTAGATAATAAGAATCTAGAGAGATGTACATGTTTCCAAGCAGGTTTTTTTTTTTTTTTTTTTTTTAAACTCGTGTGTTCTTATATTAACCTTATTTGTAAAATAAGGCATTGTGGACTGCCTGTCCATAATCCCATGCAGTGATGGGCTCAACCATAGCTCCACTCTTTTCAGGTGACATGAATGTTTCTGTTTATAAGTGGTTCTTGGTCTAACAGAGAAGACAGCCATGTAAATAGACTATAAATGCTGTATGAGAAAACAAAGTAGCAGGATTTCTCAACCTCATCACTACTGATACTTTAGACTGGATAATTGTTTGTTGCGGACGGCTATCCTGTATGAATGGTAAGATGTTTACCAGTATCTCTGGCCTTTACCTACCCACTAGATACCAAGAGCAAAACCCCCTGCTGCCTGCCAGTAATGTGAAATGCTTCCGTGGGGGCAAGGTCACTCACATAGAGGACTACTGGTATTTGTTAACAGGACAGGGTGTTTTTGCTGACCATCATAGTATTTAGGGATTGATAGTTGAGCTTGGTTTATAGTATTTTCAGGAGTTTGGCTAGTGGAAGTTTCAGGGAAGACTTTGAAGACTTGGAAATATAAAAATTACATGTTTGAGAATCTATGTAAAAAAGGTGTTGTGGAAAAGGAAAGTAGCTAGGAGTTTATAGGGTATTTGAACTTTATCCCTTTAGTGATAGGGAGCCATTGAGAGAAAAGTTTTCAATAGGCAAAAATTATTTTTTTTATAAGTAATAGAGAAATAGATAAACACTTGAGATGTCAAGATGACCAGAGATTTTGATAGCCCGAACTGAGTAAAAGTCCACAATTGTTCTAAAACTGGTGATACAGTGTGCGAACTTTTTTATGTTGATTGTCTGCAGATGGAGAGGAAATAAGGAAGAATTGACTTACTGGATTATGTATGTTGTGTTACACTTGATGTACCTATTATGTAAGAACGGAAATAAGAGAGAAGAATGGTGGTTCTTGTGCTATTAATGCCATTCAATAAGTTGTATGGAAATCGATGTAGGTGTTTTAATTTATATTAGCTCCATTTGTATGTACAAAATAGAATTTGAGGTAAGGTGTGTGGGACTGATCCACTACCATTATTACTAACATGACATTTTAAGATGGTTTTAACTATGTAATCAGTAAAATCCGCTTTTCCAGATAACTTGGAAATACTGAATTTTGGTTTGTAAATACGTGGTAGATTATTACTGAGGCAGATTGCATTTTGCCTCTATTTTATCTTCTCACCATTCTCTAGGGTATGGTTACTTGAAAACTAAATTATTTTTTTACAGTAGTTTTATTGTTACTTCTGTGCTTATACCATACTTGCCTTTTTCCCTCAATTTTATGCTTTATGAAAATGAAATGGGGAAAAAGTAGGGTTGGATTTAGAATAAAAAGCTCTTTTTTAAAGAGTATTTGAAGCCAAAAATTCCTTATTGCAACTACTGGGGGCCTGAACACAGGGCTTCACACTTGCTATACAGGCACTGTACTATTTGAGCCACTCTGCCGGCCTTTTTTTGTTGGGTATTTTTGAGACAAGGTTTCTTACTGCCCAAGCTGGCCTTGGACTTTTGATCCTCCTGGTCTGCCTTATGAGTAGCTAGGGTTACAGTTGTGATCCATTGGTGCCCACCTGCATCTTGTAAAATGAAGTAGAGATGGAAAAACAAGATTTGTGAACTTAACAGAAAGGCAAAAGGGTTGGTGATCTTCCGTTTCCCTTCATTAGAAAAACTGGTTGGCAGAATGAATTTAAGTAGAAGTTAGTAGAATCAGGGTTTTTTTTGTTTGTTTGTTTGCTCTTGTTTTGAGACAGGGTTTCACTATATAGCTTAGGCTAGCCTGGTACTCACTGTTTAGCACAGCCTGGCCTTGAACTTGTGATCCTCCTGCTTCAGCCTCCCCAGTTCTGCAATTATAGGTGTGTGTTGCCACACCCTATTCTGAATCAGCAGTTTGTAATGTTAAGCTCCTGTAAACCTGATTCCTAATTTAGCAGGATCCTTAGGTTTAAAGGATTTAACCATAAACTTACATTAAATTATTTCATAAGCTTGTTCAGTATGTTTATCAGTATAATCTTCATATCTCTCATTGCAATTATTGTAGGGATTATGGTCAGCTTTTATTAAGGGGTTTTGTTGGCATTTTAATACATTTGTATAATGCACTTTGATCATATTTACCCCCTCTTACTTTCTTATTCCCATTACCCTCTTTTTCCCTATCCCTAATGGTCCTTCTGTTACTTCCACATTGTGTCCCCCGACCCCCCAATTCCACTTAGGAGAGTAAACTTTTCTTGACGTATGAAAATACTTGATAAACATAAGTTGACATTTCAATTTGGTAAAACTTCTATGTATGCGGTTTGGGAGTCTCATGATTGATACTATAATTAAAAAACTTGGTATACATTTTTCTCCTTCAGTATAATAATCATGAAATTCGTTCTGGAAAACACATCGGTGTCTGCATCTCAGTTGCCAACAATAGGCTTTTTGTGGGCTCTATTCCTAAGAGTAAAACAAAGGAACAGATTCTTGAAGAATTTAGCAAAGTAACAGGTAAGTTGGATTTATTTGGAAAGAGGCACAACTTTAATTAAATAATGAAGGAAATAGCAGGGCTGATGGAGTGGCTCAAGCGGTAAGAGCTCCTACCTAGCAAGTGTGAAACTCCAGTGCTGCAAAAAAGTTTTTTTCAAAAATAAAAATTAAAAAAGAAAATAGCATATTTTGGTGTGATGCATTGTTCTAAACTTTACATTTTTTGATTTATTGAAGCCTCACCACAACTTTATGAGCTAGATAATCCCATTTCTGGAATAAGGAAAACAGGCACAGAAGTTCTTGGGAATTAATTTACTGAAAGTTTTGTAAGTCAGTAGGAATATAGCTGGGATTTGAACTTGGTCTGCAAAATTACCGTGCTTTCCTTGTTTTGCAAAGTTTTATTTTTGTGTGTGTGTTTATGTGTTGGTTGATATTCCTGTAGAATAACATGAATGAGTTGATTTTTTTCCAAGTTAATAAAGGAAATGAGCATTCTTGCTAAAAGCAGATATTATATAGTGTTAATATAGGGAGGTGCTCTGCCACTTGAGCCTCTTCACTAGTCCCTTTGAACTTCTTTTAAACATCTTTTTAAGATGCTTAAGTAGTTTTCAAATGATAGTTTGCTTGTGCTAGAAAATACTTTTTTATGCTTGCAGTATTTACCAAATTATGCCTGTTAATAACAGGCCTCAGAAACATTTGAAATTCTTAGGCAGTAGTAATACTGGGATTTCCTTTGAAATAAAGCTGTTGATACCTGAGACCCGAAAAATAATCATTTTAAAAAATGTGTGCATAATAAAAAATTATCCAACTATGTTTGACCTGTTGTGTGGTATATTTTTAAAAAATTATAAAGATTCTCATCTGGTCGTGTGTGATAATTAGTGGAAGCAAAATAGTCCTTGGGACTAGTTAAAAAGCACATCATCTTATCATGGGGGTTTCTGGACTGGAAAATTTAGAAAGAGTAAATTAAGACAATGTTTGGGCCACACTCTGGTAGCTCATGCCTGTAATCTAGCTACTCAAGAGACAGAGATCAGGAGGATTGCATTTTGAAGCCAGCCTGAGCAAATAGTTTCTGAGACCCAATCTTGAAAAACCCATCACAAAAGGTCTGGCAGTGACTCAAGCTGTAAGAGCACTGCTTAGTAAACATGAGGCCCTGAGTTCAAACCCCAGTGCCACCAAAAAAAAAAAAAAATTGGAACTTTGTTTGCCGTCGTTTTGAGACAGGGTCTCACTTGTAGCCCTGGCTGTCCTTGAACTCTGGATCCCCCTCCGTCAACCTCCCAAGTTCTGGAATTACAGGAGTGTGTCAACACAAACACACAGCTTTTGGGCCTTTTAAAAAAGTGCTTTATCAAGATGCTAGCTTAGAAAAGAGAGCTTTTTTTCATATTGATGTTTAAGTAGTATCTTAGAAAAACAAGTACTTTGGTATATTTATTTTTGCTAGTTTAATTTCTCTGGAATGTTTGCTTACTTTCAGAGGGTCTCACAGACGTCATTTTATACCACCAACCGGATGACAAGAAGAAAAATAGAGGCTTTTGCTTTCTTGAATATGAAGATCACAAAACGGCTGCCCAGGCAAGGCGTAGGTTAATGAGTGGTAAAGTCAAAGTCTGGGGAAATGTTGGAACTGTTGAATGGGCCGATCCTATAGAAGATCCTGATCCTGAAGTTATGGCAAAGGTAACAATTGTCAAATTAAAAATACCTTTTGAGGGGTTGAGGATGGATGAGAGAGAAAAAATAGAAAATGAATTGTGTACTTTGTTATAAATGATATTTTTGAAAGTGGTAAGACATGTTTATTGTTAAAGTATTAGGGCCACACACAAGAAATGTATGTGCATGGGAAACATATAGATATTTATTGTTGGATACTTAAGTATCATAATCTTCTACTGAAGTAGTTAGCCCATTTTTGTAGAGATGGTTCACTTCCATACTTTGTGAAGATTCTAAAAGCATTTTCTTTTGAGTGTTTGAGAATGGTGCTGTCATCTTAACATGGTTTTTGTGTTAAAATCCTACTCCTAAAAATAGTGAAATATACTGGGCCCAGCAAAACTGTTGTAGTTACAAGGTTTAGCTATTATTAGGCATCCTGCTTCAGCAGTCAGTTGAGACATCCTGTGAGAATAAACATTGCTTGAGCCAACACTTTACATTAGTGTAGTTTGCAGTGGAGTTACTCTATCCTTTGTCTTTTAAGGCTCCCCTTTAATAGTGATAGGCCAGGTATCAAATACAACTAAATCACTTAAATCTAGAGAGGAAGTGAGAAATGGTAGGAAAACTGTTACTTAAGTTTGATCTTAAGAGGACAGAAGATATTTGAGTTTTTTCCCCCTCTGGTTTATAAAGTTGTAATGAGGTTGCCACTTATAACAAATTCAAATGCTGTTCAGGTATTTTAGAAGAAACAGATGTTTCTTATCTGAAAGTTAAATTTTGTATTTCTATTTTTGGGAAGCTTTTGGGCATTAGGGGCATTAGGGGCCTTGTGTGGCCCATCCCCTTATCAATATTTGAAATACTTCCACCTCCTTTAAGATTTCAAAAGCAGGTCTTAGTTTTTTTCAGCAGCATTAAGTGTTAAAACATTCAATAGTTTTCCCTAAAGGGGAAATATCTATCCCTTTTTGATTGAAAAATAATTACTAAATTTTTAAAAATCTACAAATCCTATAGTCTTATCTTTATTTTTCCTTTTAAATAGACTTTGTTTATTAGGGCAGTTTTATTTTTAGGTTTCTGGCAAAAAGTATAGAGAATTCTGCAGTATTCTGCCTGGCTCTCTCCCCGGCCTTCCAAACTATCAATAGCCTTCACTGGGGTTAGTAGGTTTGTTATAATTGACAAACCTACATTGGGCACCCCAAAATCATAGATTGAGTTGGAGGTTCATTCTTTGTATACCTTTATGGGTTTTTGGCTATTTTTTATTTTATATTTTTTAGTGGGACTGAGGTTTGAACTCAGGGCTTCACACTTGCAAAGCAGCACTCTACAACTTGAGCCATACTTCCAGTCCATTTTGCTGTGGTTGTTTTTTGAAGCTAGGATCTCATGAACTATTTGCTTCAGGCTGGGGTCCCAGTGTATGGCTCCTTTAGAGATACACACACTTAATGCCCTCCCCCCCAGCTTCCACCCAGCTTCTAAAGGCTCCATCACTTCCTATTAAAGGCCCAAACTGCAACTATGTAGTTGCAAACATGTAGTTACAAGTTTTAATATTTTTAAAAAAATACTTACTCATTTTTGGCAGTGCTAGGGATTCAACTCAGGGCCTGTAGGCAAGCTTTCCTACCACTTCAGTCATGCCTCCCTCCTCGCCCCAGCCGTTTTGTTTTTTAGGTAAGGTTCTCTCTTCCTAATTTTGCCCAGCTGACCTGGAACTCTTACTGCTCCCACCTCCTAAGTAGCTGGGATTACAGGTCTGTCCCATCACACTTGGCTTGTAATCACCATTAAGTATTATAAGGATATTGTCACTGTCCTAAAAAATCCTTTGTGCTTTGCCTGTTTGCCCTACCTACCCCCTCATCCCAGACAATCACTGATTTTTTTTTTTTTTTTTAATTTTGCCATTTCAGATTGTCATAGAGTTGGAATCATATAGTAGACTCTTCAGGTTGGCTTTTTTCTCACAGTAATAGGCATTTAAAGGTCCTTCATGTCTTTTTGAGACTTTGTTACTAATTTATAGCGGTGAATATTTCATTCTGTATTGTCACTGTGTGTGTGTGTGTTCATGTACTGAAGGATGTCCAGGTTGCTTCTAATTTTGAGCAGTTATAAAAAAAAAAAGCTGTGTACAGGTGTTTGTATGAGCATAAGTTTTCGTCTTTGGGTAAACAACCTATGTGCAGATTATAGGATTGTATGGTAAGAATATGTTCAGTTTTGTAAGAAGCTGTCAAAATGTCTTCCACTGGGGCTGTATCATTTTGCATTCTCCCTATCAGTGAATGAAAGTTTGTGTTGTTCCACATCCTCACCTATATTTGGTATGTTAGTGTTTCGGATTTTGGCAATTCTAGTGTATGTGTAGTATTTGCCTCACTGTTGTTTTTGCTCTGTTTTCTAATGATACATGATATTGAGGATCTTTTCATGGTATGTCTTCTTTGGTAAGGTTTCTGTTTCAGGTCATAGGACCTGAGTCATTAATCATACTCTGTGGTATTCACACAGAGGACTTGAAAACTTTCTAATATTTCTGATGTTCTTCTAGTGGTTGTGATTCAAGTTAATTTTGCAGGATGGGGTGGTAGCATCTTGGAAACTGAACTTTTTGGAGATACACAGGGAATTTGTTTTTTTATTTCAGGTAAAAGTGCTGTTTGTACGCAACCTTGCCAATACTGTAACAGAAGAGATTTTAGAAAAGGCATTTAGTCAGTTTGGGAAACTGGAACGAGTGAAGAAACTAAAAGATTATGCTTTCATTCATTTTGATGAGCGAGATGGTGCTGTCAAGGTAAATAAGTGGTGGAATTACCATAGGCATCTAAGTAGACTAACAACTTTTAGTTGTAATAGAATTAGTATGTTTTAGAAATTGGAGGAAATGCAGAGGTTATGAAATTACTCAAGCAAACCTTTATTGGCTTTAGTTTAGTGAGTTAGCCAATTTTCAAATAAAAAGTTGAAGAGCTGAATCTGTAAATAAAACCTCACTGACTGAGGCTATCGTCCTTCCAACTTTAATAAGTGGTTTTTAAATTTTAAATAAATCATAATTGTTTTGAAAGGCTTACTTTTATACTGATTGTCTAATTTCTTAAGGCTATGGAAGAAATGAATGGCAAAGACCTGGAGGGAGAAAATATTGAAATTGTTTTTGCTAAAC